TGTTTGTGAAGAGCAGCCAATGGTGATTCAGGCTCTTCTTGGTGGTTTTTATATCGTTGGCCCGTTGGTGGAGAAGGAGGTGCTGGCTCTTTCTCAGTAAGTTCAATTGCAGAAGGTGTGGGTGTTCTTATATCTTATGGGGACTTTTGCTGTCTCCCACTAAGTTAGGCAAAAACTACAATTGAATAAACATCAAAAAACTAGAAGCACATGGACAAAAAATAGAGCATGAAATCACACAGGAACAGTAACCGAGGAAAAGAAGAGGGGAGAAAAGAAGAACAAAACAGGAAAATCTGCAATGTCTGGGGAGAGACACTAAGATAAAAAAGGTATAGAAAGAGATTAGTGAAGAAAAAAAATGGGAAAAATGCAAAAAAAAAAGAACCCAACAAGGAATGGGGTTAACCATGAGAGAAAAAAAAGAGAAAGAAATTTTTTTTTTTTTTTTTAAATCAGGAACTGGGCTAAAAAAGAAAGGAAAAGAAAGGTGTAAACTAGGACTTTTTCAGTCATGCAGGTCTGGAGAGTTCTTGGGGTTACTGGAAGTAGAATGTGGATATGTGTTTCTGTTTGTTGTAAAGAGGGTTTAGAGTTCGAAGTGGGAGGTTTTATGGTAATTGGTTGAATATAGTTTCTTCTGTTGAATGAGTGAAGTTATTGGTGGAGAAGGTAGGAGCAGAAGAAGGAAAGCTTGCTGTTGCTAAGGTTGGTTTCTATGGCTTTGCGCAGGCTATTATTGATGACGCAGTTATTTAAAAGACTGTGGCTCAATCTCAGGAAAGATTCACCTTGTTGAGGAGTCGCAACTTTCCACCAGGGTCAGGCACACTCAAAGATCCCACTTCCGAAGCTCCTCAGCACCAAAGAGCTGATCCAGGGCAAATTCCCGGGACCACATTCAGCCGTGGCTTCCGCTTTCTCCCCGTCCCACCTGTCTGTGGCGCTGGCGCAATCCCGCCAGACTGTTCATGGCTCTGGAGTTTGTGATACCGCCCACGTGCAGCGCCAAAGATGTGCGCAATTTCACCTGTATTGGAGTCAGGGGAGTACCTGCCAGCAAACTTTGGCCCCGATATGTGATAAAGATAAAAGCATGATGTCTCCCAGGCTGACCCAAGCCCACTCAGTAACCCACTGAGAGTGGAGGGAGCTTGCTTTCCTGGCGCAAGAGTGAGCTCTCCGCTTGAGTCTCAGCGGTGGTGTGTGTGCCTGCCTGCACTCAGATGACCCAAATTACCGACAAAATCAGGTGCTGGAGGCAGATCCTTGGGGCTTCTTACTGGGATATTGGAGTGGTCGCTGGTATGCTGATATAGGGTGTCTTCTTTCTTGGGTCACGGGGATCTCAGGTGGCCACCCTTGCCTGCCAGTCAGTGTCTGCCCCAGGGAAGTTTCCAGTGGCCTCTCTTGGCTTCCTGTCCGTCCTCTGCCAGGTAGCTCTTCCTTAAATAATATCCCTGTGCCTTTCCTCTAATTCTGTTCTTTTGTGTTTGGTGCACTCTGATTCAGTAAGCTGTTCAGAGCACCAAAATCCCTAATTCAAACTGCTGTACCTAGTTTTTCAAGCACTTAGATTCTAGAGGGAAATAGTGTGGTGCTTACTGACGAGACTCCATTTTGAATCCTAACTTGCTCTTAATGGCCTGACTGTGCTCTGAAACATTCTAGCACAATGGCTTTCAAACTTTTTAATCTCAGGATATTGAGGACCCCAGTATTGTTCCATGTGGGTTATATCTATAGATATTTACCATTTCAGAAGTCAAAACTCAGTAATTTCAGAAACAAGAGTGTAGAAGCACACTAATTGTCAGATCAATGATGTCATAGTTTATATAGCTTCTGGTAAATTCCACTGTACACCCATGAGAAAAGAGTGAAAAAATCAAATACCATTTTATGGTATAATTAATACTGTGATAATATTATTATGAAAATATCCTTGATGTTATGGGTTTCCTGGACCATACCTTGAGAACTGATGCTCTAGAATTGGGTATTTTATAGCCGCAGATGGCCACTTGCCTTTGTCAATTATTTTCTGTCATATTTTAATATCAGTTTAGTCTGAATAACCCCCTTGGAATGTAGTTACATGTCTTTTTCAGCCTTTTATCTTGAAGCTTTTGCTAAAGTTATCTTGTCTTTTTGTCTTCTGAGATGAAATGGTTGGGGATGGTTGGGTTGCATTTTCAAAGAATGGTTCCCATTTTCAAGACTTTGAAATTACAGCTTTGGATAAGAATTCATGTAAGACAGAAAATCAATTAAACAGAAATTGCCAAATGGCAATTTTTTGTTTTTATCTTTTTGTAAAAGGAAGAGAAGCTGCTATTTTCCTCATAGAGACAGTGTAGAATCAATCTTGTATTACTCTATTTTGCATGTATCCTTGTATTCTTAGTAGGAAAAAAAGTTTTTTTTTTTTTAAATAAAAGACTTTTTTTATGTTAAGTGGATTAAATGTCTTGCCATGTTAAGAAATGTCAGTTGTTACCCAATTTTTGCTTTTAAAAATGTAACAGTTTTCCAGAGTTTATTATAAACAGTACCTGTTTTTGTGGTCTTTGGCTTATTATCAATTGCTTTTTACACATTTTAAAATAAAACAAATTATCAGTTTTGTAACATTGTACAAAACTTACTTGAAATTCTTGAGGATTCAACCTTATTAAAAAACTTAGAGAAAATAATTACTTATTGAATTTCTTGTACTAATTTTTTCTCATTTCCAGAATAATAAGATTATTTTAATTCTGGTTTTGCATGACATGTTCTAGAATTCTTTCTATTAAACAAAAATGTATTTAGAATTTAACTTGTATTTATAATCCTTTGTAATCATTTTATATAGGCTATGTATAAATGAACAGGAAACATACTATGGAGCCCTGAAGAACATTGGGCAGTATTATCACTCTGCTGTTTGGGGGTAAATTTTAGTTTCCAAAGGAAGAAGTGAAATAATATATTCTAAGTAGACATTAATTTATTACTATAGTGCCACATATAATTATATTATAATTACATTAGATTCTGTGTAATTTTCCATAAAAATAAAGTTATTTTCTCGGTGGGTACTCTTTCCAATCAGAATTTACTTTCCTAATTTCTACTTTTATGTTAAAACTATATTTTTAAAATTGAATTTTAGCTTCCATGTTTTCTCCAGAAACTTGAAGGATGATAGTAGTTTTCAGAAATAGCCTAACAAAAAATGATTATAAATTGGCTTTTATTTTCTGCTCACGAATGTGCTTAAACCCATGTTTGATCTATTAAGGAGCACTGGGATTATAATTTTTTCAAGTGAGTATATTATTTAGATAGTCTCATAGAAACACTGTCTGAGAAATGTCTCCCTGACATTGATTAGGGTTATGTTTTTAGGGCTTTATTTTCCTTGACTTTTTTCTCTTACCTTTACGTTTTTGTAAGAGTCTCAAATGATGAGATTATAAGACTTGAAATGTAGGTTAATTTTTTTTTTCTGTCTCTAAATGATAATATTTTAGAGAGAAAATAATGTAGAGATGTTTTAGACATTTATACTTTTAATGAGAAAACAATATGGAAAAATAGGAAAATACGGTAATTAGAGCTATCTATTGAATCTTCATTTTTCTGACTCTTAATATATACTGGTTTCACACCAGAGAAATGTTGGCAGAACCTGAGTGGTCTCTCAGTCACAAAACTGATGATTTGCTAAGCCTTTTTCTATACTGACTTTTTAAAACCTAGAAGGAAAAAAGTCTTGTTTTAGACTTTCTATGGGAGAACTATTTAAAGTAGCAGTGCTCATCAAAGCTAGTAACTTTTCTTTTGGGGTTCTAAGTGAAATTCTCCAGTATAATATTATGGTCGGTCTGCTCATGTTTATCTTCTTGAGCCACTTGCAAGAAGTACAGAGGAAGGAGAAAAGGAACAAACATTTATTGAGTATATAGTATGTGCCAGAAACATTCTTTCCATACATTATCCTGTTACTTTTCATTGTAACTTTATGAGGTAGGTATTATTTTTATCGTCCCCATTTTACAGATGAGAATGCTGTACTGTCAGGTTTAGCAGCAATTAAATGAGAGTTGGGAATGAAACCCAAGAATGCTAAACTTTAAGTCAAATGCTGTTACATTTGAAGGATAGCTAATGGTATGAAACTCTGGCCATAATTTTGTCTTGCTTACTATACTAATGTTATATAAGACACATAAGTTTTCTTTTTAAGGAATTTCTCACCTTCATTTGCTAGCTGTATATAAAGCCCCTAAACTATTTTGTTTGGTTTTAAAACAAAGAGCATAATATAAAACTTTAAAGTACTAGAATTCTCAAGAGAAATGACATTGCCTCTTTTTTGAGTTTATGGTCTTTTCTGATTTTAGAGAGAAAATAATGTAGAGATGTTTTAGACATTTATACTTTTAATGAGAAAACAATGTGGAAAAATAGGAAAATACGGTAATTAGAGCTATCTATTGAATCTTCATTTTTCTGAAATTCTGAAGGTAAAGAGTTGTTGGTTGCATGCCTGCTTTCTCATTTAGTAGAAGAGAAAGAGGATGGGACCTGTGGAGAAGTGAAAAATTTGGGAGAGGGTACTTTGAGGGTCCTTGGAAAGAGATTTATTTCCTAAATATAGTAGATTTTGAACTTATTAAAAGAATGGAGAATATGGCATAATTTTAGAAATCCTTAAATAATATTTTAAATAAAGTTAAGAATTTATTGAAATTACTTCCTAATTGAAACATGATTTTCTGACATACTTTAATATTTTAATATCAGGACTCGCTGATTCTTGAGAAGAGTCAAAACTGGAGTTCTCAAAAAATGGACCATATTCTGATTTGCTGTGTTTGTCTTGGAGATAATAGTGAGGATGCTGATGAAATAATTCAGTGTGACAATTGTGGCATTACGGTCCATGAAGGTAATTTTGCTTTGTTTTGTCACCTTTTAGAAATGACTGATACTGCTTTTAAATAAATAGAATAAACTCTTTTACATTTATACTTTTCTGAATTTTTTTCTATAATATTTCATAGTGTTTCCATGGAAATTATACATACTGAGTCCTCAAATTGTGATGGATATTATTTTTCAGATCTTAAACATTTTAAAAAATAATATATAAATATTATATGGAAATCACAATATTTCTTTAAAGGTCAGTGTTATGATACTTTCCTTCATGGTATTACTTCTAGTTTCTAAATGAAATTCAGAAGTAGGCAAAAGTCTAGTGTGTTAGTCCACTAGATGTATTAGTATAAAACTTACATTATAAATCTGTTATCATAATTTCTTCTTTCATAGGGATAATTTTTAATTTTTATTTTGTGAGGAGAATTTGTAGAGCTTGTATTTTAAAATTTGAAATAGAAGCCTCTGGGATGTATTGTTAATTTTATTTTTACTGTTATCATTTTTGAACCTTTTTAATATGCTTTTTTTTATTTAAATTTATTTTGACATGATTTCTATGGAAATTTATTTCAGAAATGCAAGAATGGTTCTAGATTTAGAAATCTATAACCGTATTTATTATTTCAGCAATTATCTGATAATAGTTAAGTAACTCATAAAACAGGAAGAGAAGAAAACTATTTAAATATGATAAAGACTGTTTATATTAGTAAAAAATCTGAATTATGAAAGCTAGAAACTTTTCCATTACAGTGAAGACCAAGGCAAAGATGATGGTTATTTCTATTTTTCAGCATGATTTTGGAGAATGTAGCAAATATAAAAGATAAAATAAGAAAGAAGTGATAAAAGTATTAGAAAGAATGAGGAAGTCATCTTTTCACTTTTTATATAATTGTAAAACTAAGAAATCTGAGTCTGTGGTGAGAAACTAGGGAATTTGCCAAGATAGATGAATCATTGATCAATGTATAAAAATGGAATTAGAAAAAGTATTCTAATCACAGTATTGCAACAATTTTAAAACTATTCTAAATTTAGGAAGAAAAATTCAAGACTTTGTTGAGTTAGACTTTGAAATCTTATTGAAGAATATTTAACAAGATCTGGATAAATGAGACATGTAACATGTTCTTTTATAAAAAACCTTAATCTCATGAAATACATTTTTATATGTGAAAATATATCATGAGTTTATGCTGATATTTTCAAATAAACTTGAAGAATATGAGGTTTAATTTAATTTCCTTGACTTTATATTGATGGATGTTTACTCTCATGCTGAAAATCTAGAATGCTAATGATATTAACATAATTGCTTTCTTGATTGATCTCTATAAATTTTATATGGTTATATGAAATAATATATCAAAGCAAACCAAACTCACTGCCATCAAGTCAATTCTGACTCATGGCAACCCCTATCGGGTGTCTGAGGCTGTAAATCTTTATGGAAGTAGATTACCCCAACTTTCTTCTGCGGAGCGGCTGGTGAGTTTGCACTGCTGATCTGGTTAACAGCCAAATGCCTTACCTACTATGCCAGTAGAGCTCCTTGTGAAATAATATAAAGCTACATAATATGCAATATGGTTTAGAATTACAACGTCATTATTACTAACAATACAATTATTGAGATAGTTATAATTTTTTTTGGTTCTTTTTTTCCATTAAGGTATATATATCTTACTTGGGATGGAAGGTCGTGTTAATTTATTTTCTGTTTTAAACCAGGACATTTTTTTTTTATTCCTTATGGGAGAAAACTGTATGCATATGTAAACTGGGAGGTGCGAAGTAATTTTTTGTTGTTGTTAAGTGAAGGAGTAACCAATTTCAAAAGAATGGGGACCTGTGGGTAAGAAGATGGTAAAAGAATGTGTAATTTTAAGTAAGTTTGAGTATCCAGAGCTTAAAGTGATTTCTATTTGTACTTCCTTTTAGAATAAAACCAGAATGAACTAGAGTAAACCTAAAAAGAGACTATACCTATTCCTCAGTTATTAACAAAGTTAGGTTCCAAAGACCAGGTAATTATGTGAAAATGGGTATTATGGGGAAATGGAGGGTGACCACATCAGATCACAAAATGAAGGATAATTACATTATTACATAACTTGACAGGTTAAAAATCATTATAGAACTGCCAAATTACATTGTTACATAACTCAAATTTCATCATTACGTAACTGCCAAATTAGATCATTAAATGACTGACAAACTGCTGAGAATCATGGCCCAGCCAAGTAGACACATGACCTTAATGATTACAGCCAGCATTACTCTTGCTTAGTGCTTCAGTGTTCATTACTGTCAGATGTAGGTCATTATTGTGCAAAATAGTTGGATGGTAGACTTTTTACTATTACTGGAAATGCAGAATGTCAGATAACAAGATCGTCAGTAAGTGAGGAGTAAGTGTTTTGGAGGAGCTCTGGTGGCATAGTGCCTGAGGCATTTGACTGCTAACCAGAAGCCTGGTTCAAACCCACCAGCCACTCCTTGGAAGGAAGGTTGGGCAACCTACTTCCATAGTGGTACTGCCTTAGAAATCCAAGGAGGGGTTGCTGTGAGTCAGATCCAACTTGATGGTAGTGAGTTTGGTTTTTGGTTTTGGAAGTGTATTGGTGGTCTTGGTTGTTGTCAGGTGCCATGAAATTGTCTCCAACTCATAGTGACCCTATACACAGCAGAATGAAACATTATGGTCCTGTGCTAACCTTACAGTCCTTGCTATACCTGAGCCCATTGTTGCAGCAACTGTGTCAATCCATCTCATTGAGGACCTTCCCCTTCTTTGTTGACTTTCCACTTTAGCAAGCATGATATTCTTCTCCAGGGAATAATTCCTCCTGACAACATGACCAAAGTAGGTGAGACGAAGTCTGGCAATTCTTGATTCCAAGGAGCATTCGACTGTACTTCTTCCAGGACAGATCTATTAGTCCTTTTAGCAGCGCTTAGCATTCTCTGGTAGAATAGTGCCTAAGGCACTTGACTGCTAACCAGAAGGCTGGAGGTTCAAACCCACCAGCCACTCGTCGGAAGGAAGGTTTGACAATCTACTTCCATAGTGATACTGTCTTGGAAACCCAAGGAAGGGTCGCTGTGAATCGGGTCCGACTTGATAGCACATAACAACAAACAACAGCATTCTTCTTAGCGTTTTTCTCTTAGCGTTCTTCTCCAACACCACAACTCAAAAGCATCAACTCTTCTTCGGTCTTCCTTATTCGTTGTCCAGCTGTCCCATGCATAAGAGGCGATTGAAAATACCATGGCTTGGATTAGGTACACCTTAGTCTTTTGCAGCAGATTTGCCCAATGCAATTTGTTGTCTGATGTATTGACTGCTGCTTCCATTGGTGTTGATTGTAGAATCAAGTAATATAAAGTCCTTGACAATTTCAATCTTTTCTCCATCCATTGTGAAGCTCTTTATATTGAGGTGTAATCCATACTGCAGACTTTAGTTTTTAATCTTCATCAGTAAGTGCTTCAAGCCATCCTCACTTTGAGCAAGCAAAGTTGTGTCTTTGCATATCTGTTTAGATATTTTAGGTTAGAGATAAACATGCTTAAAACTTGGTGTGTATTCTTCCAGACATTTCTTGCTTGCTCATGTGTGTACACATACATATAGACACTAATACATATTTTTCACTTTGTTGTTATTGTTAGGTGCTGTCAAGTTGACTCCAACTCACAGTGATCTATGTGCAACAGAGTAAAACATTGTCTAGTTGTGCACCATCCTCATAATCCTTGCTATGCTTGAGCCCATGGTTGCAGCCACTGTGTCAATCTGTTCTGTTGAGGGTCTTCCCCTTTTTTGCTGACCTTCTACCTTTTCAGTCATGATATCCTTCTCTGGTGAACAGTCCCTTCTGACCAGATAACCAAAGTAGATGAGACAAAGGCTGGCCATTCTTGCTTCCAAGGAACATTCTGGCTGCACATCTTCCAAGACATATTTATTTGTTTTTTGGCAGTCCATGGCAATTTTCTTCACCATACCACAATTTAAAGGCATCAACTCCTTTTTGGTCTTCTTTGTTCATTATCCAGAACTCTAATAGCATAGTGCCTAAGGCACTTGACTGCTAACCAGAAGGCTGGCGGTTTAAACCCACCAGCCACTCTTCGGAAGGAAGGTTGGTCAATCCACTCCTGTAGTGATACTGCCTCGGAAACCCATGGCGGGCTCGCTATGAGTTGGGCAGACTCGATGGCACATAACAACATTAACATATTCATTATCCAGCTTTCACATGCTTATGAGGCAATTAAAAATACCTCAGCTTGGGTTAGATACACCTTAGTCTTCAAAGTGACATATTTGCTTCTTAACACTTTAAAGAGGTCTTTTAAAGTAGATTTGCCCAGTGCAGTATGACATCTGATTTCTTGACTGCTGGTTCCATGGGTCTTGATTATGAATCCAAGTAAGGCTTTTATATGTTCTGTCTTTTTTCTCTTCTAAATAAATGGGATAAATGTTATGGGATATGTTTCTGCAACTTGTTTTATTTTACTCCTTTGTTAACCTTAGAATTCTTTTCAGGTCAGTACATACGTTGTTGTTAGGTGCTGTTGAGTAGAGTCCCACTCATAGTGACCATACAGAAGAGTAGAACTGCCATGAGGGATTTTCTAGGCTGTAGTCTTTTCAGAAGCAGATTGCCGGTCTTTTCTCCCTTAGAGCCTCTGGGTAGGTTTAAGCGCCACTCTTTTGGTTAGCAGCCAAGTGTTTAATTGTTATACCACCAGGCATCCTTCAGTATATATGGATGATATACCTTTCTTTTTAATGGCACATAGTTACCCAAAGAATAGTTCAACTGTAATGTATTTATTTTTCTGTTTGCTTCTAGCTTTTGACTTCCATGTAGTGCTAACAAATGTGTTACATGTATTCATGTAATTTCTTCTGTGAGATAAAATCCTAGAAACAAATTTGCTCAGTCAAAGGATAAGTGCATTTCAATTTTTAAAAGACATTAG